AAAAAACAACAACAACAACAACAAACAAATAAAACAAAACAAAACACAACAAACAAACGCACAAAAACAAAACAAAACACGATTAGTTTTATTAGAGACTACAGCGGACTGTCAGAAATTTAAATTCGGGCACTAGGACGTCAACGCTACAAAAAAGATGACGTCATGACGTCATACTCTAATGTGTACGTCACTGACCTCCAGGAAGTGCACAACGTACACTTCTCACCTGTGGTAAATAATGTATACTCTTCATTTTGCCCGTAGACGGCATTAGTTTCATTTCTGTGAGAGGAAGTTCTTTTTACTGAGAACCCCGACATTTTGTTTGTATTTTGCATCTCATTCAGCCTGGGTTAGCCAAAACAGTTCGGGTCTAAAAGGGCATATTTTAAATATTTGCTTTCTTTTTCTTTGAGTGGTTGGGGGTAGTGGAACAATTATAATTATAATTATTATAATCCTTTATTATCACATAATAAAAATACCATTGAAGCCTGAGCTCATTCAGCTGTGTCTCAAAGTCAACCCATCATACTGACAAGAAATAAGTAACGACTGTGGACAAGACAGAAACAGATCACGGTTTGCACCTGTGTCGTCTCTCACGATTTGAGCCGGTTGCGTGATATATATATTGTTGTTAAGTCATTTCATTCAAAATGTTTCTCAAACGTTTATTTCCAGCAGGATTTTTAACAACATAATTCATGTTCATCTCTTTCGCTCCTTTTCTTCTTTTTATTTCCTCATCCTTACTATCGTCATTTTTCCTCTACTTCTTTTGCATATTTGTCACTCTCCTGTGAACTGCTATTTCCGGGGTGCCTTGATAGTCAAAGCGGAACTTTGTGCTGTTGAGGCTAGAGAGGTGAGCAGAGTAAGCCTGATTCCCCGTTTGGACTTCTCTGTTGACATCCACCCCTTTGCGGTCATATGCCCTTATTCAGTTGCGAGCGCCATAAAACCATACTAAAATTAAAAACTAAAGCTTCTTTTTTCGCCGCAACTTTGCATTCTTCTACCTTGATTCATTTATAATATTATCCATATATTGTTTTTGTCCGTCTCTTTCTTAATGTTCCTTTCTTCTCTTCAACTTCCCATGTCCCAGTTCTCGTACGGGTACCTCTATGTCAAGCATTTGTTTTCCAAGATGTTTTAATCCGAGGATTTTTTTGGGGCTGAAGAACATGACGCTCATACCCCACAGCTATGCTCTCTTCCCACACACCTTATGTCTGAAACAAAAAAACCCACATTTTTTGCTGGAATTTCCCCTAAAGGAAGGTGGGGATTCAATGTTAAGTTCATTAAGCACGAGCCCTAAAGAACCATTGACATGCTGAGAATACGACGTCGTTTCACATAGCATACCTTGGGAAAGGTCATGGTTCGTACACTGATCTTGTGTTTAAACAAGACAGAGGGTAGGAGAGAGAGAGAGAAAGCGAGAGAGAGAGAGAGAGAGAGAGAGAGAGAGAGAGAGAGAGAGAAAGAAAGATAGTAAGAGAGGGAGGGAGGGAGAGAGAGAGGGAGGGAGAAAGAGTGACAGAAAGAGATAGACAGAAGGAGAGGGGGAGAGAGGGATAGAGAGACACATGGAAAGAAAGAAAGAAAGAGAGAGAGAGAGGGAGAGAGAGAGAGAGAGAGAGAGAGAGAGAGGGAGGGAGGGAGAGGAGAGAGAGAGAGAGTAACAGAAAGAAAGACAGGGAGAGAGGGAGACACAGAGAGAGAGAGAGAGAGAGAGAGAGAGAGAGAGAGAGAGAGAGAGAGAGACAGACAGACAGACAGACAGACAGACAGACAGACAGACAGACAGACAGACTGACAGACAGACAGACAGACAGACAGACAGACAGAGACTGGTGTGGCTGTGGTGGTGAAGGAGGGGAGCGTGTGTGCCACTCAGAACTGTCACTACGCTTTCCTCTCCGGACAAATTCCTTCCAGCATACTTTGTCGCATTGCCCGACACGAAGTCATGTTCCGTGAGCCACTTAGATTTACGCGTGGTTGATGAGCTTCTTTGTCTTAGTGAAGCACATGACAGCTAGCTAAAGGACATGGATTCAAATGTCACTTTCTTATACAGTACAAAATGCAGTCTGGTACAAAAGAACTCAATACCTGTGATTTTAGTTATTATGAAACAAACGTAAAAAGTCTTGCAGGTATCTTATTGCATGAAAAATACGCAGGTTGGAATGTGCTATTAAAAAGGGGGAGAAAAGTGTAACATGAAGGACGTTGGGGTCACCGTGTGGAGTATTTTATAGAAGTATCCTCAGTGGTAGTGCGATACATTATCCTTTTTTATTTCATTTTTATTAAATACTAAGTGAAGGGAAAAACAAAATGTTCCTGTTAATCGACCTAAATATCCTTTCAAAAAATGGATAGAAGCTATCTTTTCTAACATGCCAGATGGTCATGGGAACATGGTAAACAGAGGCATTACATTGGGTAGAAGGGGGAGGAGAGAGGGCAGCTGCCCGCATAATATGTCGTTTACATGTCTAGCATATACACAAATTTGGCTGTTGTTTGTTAATATAAGAAATGTTTCTGGAATAACAACGGATTGGAAACACGACGTCTTCAAAATTGGAGCTCAGGGTCCCCTCGGCTTGAGGTGAAACAGAAGACGAGTAACAAGTGTGTGTGAAGCCACTTGAGGTCGATCCAGTTCTTCCCTCATGCTGCTCTGGCTCACACTTCAGCACGGCGTTTTATGATAGGATCACACCTACTAACACCATTTTCAATGGTTCGGTTTTGTGTGAGTAACATGTGAAAATCTTCTCAATTTAGCAGTTAATCCAAGCTAATCCTTTCTCAAACTCGCTCAAAATTGCCCGGAATTCCTCGCCTGTAGAGAGGGGCTGTAGCGAGGGCAAATAAAGGGGAGGTGACGAGGATGGGGTGGACAAGGTGGGATAGCGGAACATGACGAAGAACTTTTCGCTTGGTTTCACTATTTATTACTTATACACTCTTTTGTATGCTCGGTAAAATGCTTTTTCACTTGACAAGTGTCGTAAACGTAATAGTAATAGAATATTTTTATGAAACCATAATGTGGTGTGCATGCTGATAAAATGAATTGCTTCTGGGACGTTTGCCCTATGGACATAGAGACGTCAGCAGTCAACAACTTGAGTTTGTACAATTTATTAGCATAAAAATGTGATGAATTACATATTTAACTTGAAAAAATTGGCATCGGTTGAAAACCTTCAAATCTGACTCTTGTGTTGATTTGCCGATGTCTTCATTTGCATTTGCGGATGGCGAAGTGTAACTAATTTCGTCTGCACGCCTGGCACATTATGTTGCAGGTAGAACTCATTAAAAAAACCTTCACGTTAGCTCCCATGGACGTGGAGTTGTAATAAGAACCAATTTAAAAGTAGGCAGGTTCGGGAAAAATGTTAATCGCCAAGTCTTTTCACGTCGCAGCGGGTCCCTTCGCTTTTGGTATTCGAGTCACATGAAACCGGGGACAGAAATGCATGTATACTATTCGTGCACTCTAACTTCTGATTGAGTGCTAAGAAACATTGTCGTTCATTTACTTACCCCCGGAAAGCAGTTGGCTTTTGGTGAGGAGTTACGTTCTCGTGTTCCTCTTGACCATTTACGTTATATTTTTACTCAAAATTTTCACTTCCGTGCTTCAGGCTTTTCTGCACTGCCCGAACTTTGGCGCGAAGACGCGCTTTTCTGCAGATCAAACATCCGGTCTTTTACCCATTTCGTGAACGCTGCAGGGCATGACAAGACGTCAAATGAGTTCAAATGTAAAGACTGTCATCGGTATGTAGTCTCAACTTCGTTAAACGTTGGACCCTTATTGTGCCTTCAAGGGCTGTGAGCACGATCTACGGATTAAGAGTGAGGCAGACACAGAGTTCACACAGTTCACTTCCCTAGGCTTGTGCAAAGTCGAGACACAATCCCTAGTACTGTAGTTTTAAGGACTCCAAGATAGTGGGCTAAAGAGTAGTACCAGTATTCAGAAGGCTGTCTCACAAAAAGGGGTTTATCCAACATAAAACGAGACTACCGTAAAGTAGTCTGACGACGGAAGAAAGGTCGGTGTAAACAAGCAGAGAAACGTTTCGTACCCCCGCCCTTAAATACGTCCCTTAAGGACAATTAAGGTTAGGTTTCAAACTCTCGGTTGTCTCTAAAGAAGCTGGAAATTAACCCCCCGCCCTCGAATCCATCCTGTCGATGTTGGGTTTAACTATAAAGCCTGAACAGTAACAGGTACGTTGAGTACAAAAAGATAGACGTTGTCATGTACTTTAAGAGTTGGGCACATGAGATGCCTCTTTTTTTCTCTTTTTCTTTCTGACCTTCTTTTAAAAAGAGTTCAGTTTGTAAATGTTCTTGCGCCTGTAAAATAGCAGCTTTATGCTTTCCAGGAGGTTGACATTGTTTCAGAATGTTATCAGGTTTGCAAGGGTGATACTATATTTAATGGGCATAGATCTTAAATTGCTGCTTGCTGTTGAGCAGGAAATTTGCGCCATGCAAATGGTATTAATCGTTATTGTTACAGTTCATCCCCTTAACAGATACATGACATGCACTATTTAATGTCCAATGCATACCAACAGAAAGATAAGATATCGGGTAAAACATGTCCCCATTGACGTATACAACTTTCTATTTCTCAGTCGAACACATTCATTTTTTCCTCTTATCTCCCTTTTTCTTCTTCGGGGTTGTATCCAACCTGGCCCTAAAAGGAACAGCCTGTCTCATTTACAATCTCAATTACAGCAAATCCAGTTCTCTTGCTGAAGGGATAAGAAAATAAAAAAAACGAAGAATAAAGAGAAAGCGGTTACAAAGATTATAAACCAAAGGGATAAAACAGCTGCATGTTAGAGCACAAGCACATTTCTTCATCGGTGAAAAATGGTTTCATAATAATAACCCACCACTTTTCTCTCGACTATCAGAGAGGGAAACGCGGGTGGGGGGGGGGGGATGCAGATAATTCATACTGACAAGAACGGCACAGAAACAAACATCTTAAAGTAGACAAGCAAAAAACCCCAAAACAAACACTAAAAAAACGTGGAAATACGTTGATAAAAATATAAAAAAGGAACAAAAATGTTTTTAAAAACTCATTAAAAAAAACCCACCGAAAATATCAACAACAACAAATAAATACATAGCAATCATTGTCTTTGTATTATGCTTTGAAACAAATTTGATAATATTAACTAACAATAACGTGTGGTACTCACGCGAGTGTGCGGCGGCAGCGATGGCCAGGAGCAGCCAGCATTGTGATATCCGTGCAGCAGACATTGCGCCTGTGGACACACAGACAGAGACAACCGCTGGTGAGTCACTTGAGTCATACACAGGTGTATTATTTATTACTGATGTAACTACTCATTGCGGACGCCCGTTCCGGTCATTGGACAACGTTTGGGGACTCACATTTTGCAAATATCTATCTCAAACTACGAAAAATAAACAAAAACTATGCTTACTATGAAACAGGCACATACATATTTCTGATTAGTGCATAGTGTTTTGAAATGTGCTGCAATATTGCCTTTTGTCTTCTACTGATCAGACGTGACAATGTGTCAATTCCTGTTTTAAATGTTTAGAGGATTTTGCTAAAAGGGGAGAATGGTCGTGGACACAGTTCGTGTTAGATAGCCAGAGATATGGATCTCTACTTCCACACTGAAATTATTTGAAAGTTACTCTCTGGTTAAGCTTACATAATATCGTCAAGACACTGCCAATAGTCAAGTTATAACGTTGGTTTAGTATTATCTAATGTTTCTTGTATGTTTAGTTCTCTTTCAAGACCTTTTCTAAGCCACTGTATATCATGTTCTTAGAAAATAAGTCTTCTTTTTCTTCTCATTTTTATACAACAAATCCGTTTTGTCTTATCGTATACTATGGTACCCTCCTAACTAAAACGGAAACAAACATGAAATAACGGGTCGACTGTTAAGTTCTATTCATGGTTTTCATCGGGTAAAGAGGCAGCGAGTTTGACCGCTGTTATAAAAATCATTTTTCAACCTCGAACAAAAGTAATCCAGAAATAAGCCAAAGTGTTCAGGTGCTCACATAAACTATAATGCACAAACGCGTACAGGAAAATGAAACAATACCTTTTAAAATGAATGGAATGTTTCTAGTCAGTGGAATCAATCTTTAAAATCTTTTCAACAATATGAGGGTGACCAGTTTTTAACGCAAAATGTAATAAACTCTTGAAACTCCTGTGAAAGAGATGGTTTCAGTTAAGAATCTTGATGAAGTTTCTCTCACAGGAGGAGAGTATATTGGAAGAAATGGGTAGCAGAGACACGCAGAACGTCACAGGAAATGTCTACTCTAACTATGGCCGGGCGAAGAGCAGAGCTGTGATATTTATCCGAAGTGTGAGACAAAAGGAGCGGGCTGACTCATTCAATGACTTATTCCTTCTCTCATTCTTGTTCTCCTTCCGCATGCATATTACTCACCTTTGGACCATCCTGCCCTCCCCCGCATAGGGGCCCTCCCCCACCCCCTTCTCCACCTACTCATCTCCTAACTCACACCCTACTGCTTTACCTTTCTTTCGTTTTTCCATCATTTTAAGGGCCCAAGCAAGGTGCCAGAAATATTTGGAGCATTTCTCAGTTTTCTGCCGCCCAAATGTGAATTCTGGTGTACCCGAGTTTCTATTAGAAATAAAATGCTTCTTAAATATACAGATGGCAAGCTATTCAACTATTCTTAGTTCAGAAACCAAACTTTTTCAGGAGAGAGAGAGACAGAGAGAGAGAGAGAGAGAGAGAGAGAGAGAGAGAGAGAGAGAGAGACGCGGTTTTATTATTTTGTACCCAAATTTTGATTCTATGTTTTATTGCTTGTTGTACACATTCAGAATGTACATTGCAACAAACTATTTCTCAAGCACATACAACTTTCACCAAAGATTAAGAAACTGCAGTAAAAGATAAACATTGGACTAAGAACATCTTTACAGTCTCTAGAATTTCCAAAGTTGGATCATGGTCTGTCCCCAGGCAGATGTAGTGTGACCAATACAGTTACCCAATCGTGGAGCTGGGAGAACTCAGTAAAGTTTCTTTTTTTAGCCTTAGTTAGAGTTTTATGGCACTTGCAACATACTAAGTTCATATATGTGCCGAAGATTAGAGACGTTACAAGAGAGTAACAAGCACAAAAAGAAGGAGAAATTTGGTAAGAAAGAAGGAGCAAACAACACCAGAGCACCCGCAAACCACCCGCTAACGTTCCTCACATCAATAGAAAATTACGTCATCCCCCCGCTGGTCAGTTTTGGCGTCTCAGGCATACAGCTAAATGGAATACCACACCTCCCCCCAATTGACCTCACATCCATTTTTTAATCTGCTGTCTAGCCAGTTTCAAGACAGGTATACGTCAGTGTGGCTCCCAACCCTAGGGTCGTTTTTAGGCACAAGTGGGCTATCCCAAGAAATGCTGTTTCGAGAAAATTGAAAGTAAAGTTTTTGGACCTTTCAAAAATGAGGAGAGCTTTCTCTATGACCAAACACATAAACACCAACGAAACCAAACTTCTCCTATGGGTAAGGGCAATGCCCACTTTTGGCGTATGTCAAGATTTCTGGAAACCCCCAAAATCTGGGTTAGCCCGCTTGTCCTTAAAAGCGACCTGTAATCGTATTGCAGCAGTTGACTTATAAACTAGTGCATGTCTATAGTAGATACCGAGATTTGGGGGGGGGGGGGTGAATCAAATGTGTTATGCGCTTAGATATCTAGGGCTGGAATTTCTGAGTTCTCTCCCTGTAAATAGCAACTTACAAGATCGAGAAGGCTGCAGTAATGTCATAATTATATTCTGAACAACTCTTTAGACCCTGCAGAGGTGTTAGTTTAGTGACACACAAAATTATAGTACCGTAAGTGTCAAAAGCAAACCTAATCGGTTAATTAAACATTGAAAGAGATCAATTAGAGAGTCAAAATGTTTCTGGGTTTCTCAAATTACGGCCACAAAGGAAGGGTTGTAAAAATGTTCTGTTATTGCAAAAAGGGCGTGTCGATCAAGGAGTGTTTAGACTGTGGAAACCAATGTTGAAAAAAAGGTTTTGTTTTTATGTGACCGGGCGTACAGGCTGGTCGTATCTTTTGTTAAATTAGAGAGAGCCCGAGAAACTGCACCGCTATGAACCTACAAGATTTTAAAGAATGCCACCACTGTTTTGTATTTTTTATTCTGTGCAGGATTAATTAATAGGACTGTCTGTGTAATTTCTAAAGGGTTACGCTGTGGTATTGTTTACACCACATGTAATATTTCATTTTCATCAAACGTATTCTGCCTGAGTTGCAAAATGTCTTTCCCTAGGTAACAAGCACAGGATAATAAAACTAAGTGTTATTTTCTGTAATCTCTGGTATTTTTGGTCATTAAGGAGGCCAACTTACTCAACCTTGTCTGGCACCGCCAACCAGAGGAGAGTTTTCATTCAGCAATATATGTTAACATGTGGTGGACTCAACAAAGCTTGGGAAAATGCTTGATAACGATACAGTAAGAGTAGGTCAGTCTGCTTCAGCACACTGGGTGTTTACTTAAAAGGTCATAACCTGCAAATATGCCAGGAGTGCTGATCCTTACACAATATTGCCGTAATCTAAACTTATTGGGTGTTGTTTTGTCCTTACACACAGAAATACAACGTTGTCTTGTGGAAGGAGTACGGAGAAATCAAATTAAGAACACGTACGGTTTTCTTATAGAAACGTTACAATGTTCGTTTTCAAAAATAGACATGTGATATTTAGAATTGAATGACAGAACATGAGAGGAATTTGCACGTTGCTGCTCCCCCATGATCTAAGTAAGTATTTGGGCATGTGTTAGAGGAATGGTCCAGTTAAAGATGCTCGTGAGTCACGGCGGGAGTGTTGCGCTCACCCACAAAGAGAAGAAACGAGAAGAACGAGATTCGAAAAGAGAATAGGGTAGAAAGAGAGAGAGAGAGAGAGAGAGAGAGAGAGAGAGAGAGAGAGAGAGAGAGAGAGAGAGAGAGAAAGAGAGAGAAACAGACAGACAGACAGACAGACAGGCAGACATTCAGACAGACAGACAGACAGACAGACAGACAGACAGACAGACAGACAGACAGACAGACAGACAGACAGACAGACAGACAAACAGACAGACAGACAGACAGACAGACAGAAAGAGAGGAGGAGAGGGAGGGGAGGAAGAAGCAGAGAAACTGACAGTCACACAGTCATTCATGCAGACATAAAGGTATACAGGGAGAGTTAAAGAACGAAGTAAAAGATGACATGCCAGACATAAACCAAGATAATTAAATGACAAATAATTCCAAAAGGATCTGAAAATAGCCAACAGAGCAAGGAACTACACAATTACAAAAAAGAAAATGAAATCAATCATAGTTTGTATAAACGATATCCTTCTACATATCTTCACAATACCCTCTCCCCCACGCACTACTCATTTTGCAGGTGATTGGAGAGTGTACTGGTGTCGTTTAATCCTTCTTTCCAATCAAATATCTATCGTCCTGATCTCTCCCCCTTATTTTATGTGTTTGTAACTGTCTTGTAACACATCTAATCTTCGACACTTATTTGACCTTATTTTGTCGTAAAACTTCTAGACAAAAATGTAAAACGCAAAGGAAGAAACATGGTAAAACCGCCAGTTAGGGTTTCTCCTTGAAAATATCTTTAAAATAAAAGGTGAGAGTGTAAGGAATTTTACTTTGGAAAGTCCAACCCCAGAGGCATAGCGGTTAGGAGCTTCACCGTCACATTCGAAAGACACCTCCCGCATGGGGAGATTTATTTCAGATTTAATCAGTTGTCTCAGTCTGGTGCTGAGACTTTGTGTCCTTCTCAGATCCTGTTGGTCTTGACAGAGAGGATTCTGGAGACTGGTCTGCTAGATATCCCTAATAGTGTCCAAAAACCCCCAAAAACTTACGATTACAGTCTTTAGAAACAACTAACTGCAGTCACCAAGATTATTAATATTATTTGTGAGGCAGCATGGTGGAATCAGGCTCTCGTCAAATTTTTGGGCACATAGAGTTAATCGTATCATCTTAAAGCTCGTTCACTTGTCTTTATTTGGATGAAAAAAATATTCGTTTATCATAGATACAAGTCGAGATATTTGCGAATGAAGAAGGTGGGGATCACCTGTTTTCAGAGGTGAAATTAGAGAGAAAATGGCCGCCAAAAATTACTTAAGAGTCCGTTGTAAATGAAAGTTTACATCTTTTGTGCCTTTAATCAC